GACCAAGCCAGTAAATGACATTCCTGTAGGGGTCTGCTTCAGCACCGTCTCCCACATTCCTGCCCTGAGGTCCTTATGGTGGAGTTACGACCTAGGACTTGTAAGTTGAAATCAACCCTTTCCTCTCTGTGTTGTTTTTGGTCACATTGTTCACAGCAGCAGGAAAGAAACTAGAGCTGCACTTGGTAAAAGGAACATTGGATATTGCTGTGAGGGACCTGTCCTTTTAAATCTTGCACTGTTCATGGAGGGAAGGTGGAGGCTTTTGGAGCTTTGAACCGGAAAAGCCACCGAGGGCTCAGAGCTGGAAGAGCCCTTGTGAGCGCTAGAGAGCAATGTGCAGTGGAGCCCAGGCTGTGAGGCTTTAGCCCCGTGGCCTAAATACTTCCGAATACTGCCACCCTCATGCTGCAGTGACCCCTAAACCATAAGACTATTTTCATTGCTACTTCATAACTGTCAGTTTGCTACCGTTAAAGTCATAATGTAATATTTTCTGGGAGATAAAAGTTTGCAAGGGGTCGTGACCCACAGGTTGAGAACCCCCGCTGTGGCGGCATGGGAGGCTTCTCTACCAGGGCTGTTTTGTTCCTGTAATATTTTGGATTAAGAATCTGTGGAAATGAAACCTTTGCTTCACTGGAACAATGACTACTGCACTAATCAGCTGTGGTTATCTGGGAAGTATTTCCTGAGGGTCAGCTGTGGCCGGGTGGAGAGAGGAGAGGGCAAGGCTGCATCTAAACAGGAAGTAAAATTAATAACATGTAAGAGTGTCCCTCATGCTACTGGTTTTGAGGGCACCAAGGGGTTGTTTTAGTTACTTTTCTGTGTTTTTGTTTGTTTTGAGGCAGCAACTCACTATGTAGCCCTGGCCGTCCCTCTGTAGATCAGAGGCCCCCAACTCAGAGATCCGCCTGCCTCTGCCTCCCAGGTGCTGGGATTAAGGGCACGTGCCACCACATCTCAGCAGTGTTTGGATTGTTTTAAAGTTTGTGGGACTTCTAAAGTTGTACTATGTTTGATGTTAATATTAGCATAATATTTATTGGTACAAGCAAGGAAAGAAATGTATGGGCTAACCATGATGCTTTGTATGTGAAGTTGACAAGGGGTAAGTTGTGTTTTGTCAGCTTGATAACAACTAGAGTCACCTGGGGAGACGTAGCCTCACTCGAACTGCCTCCAATCAGACCTACCTGTGGACACGTGAGTGTGTGTGTGTGTGTGTGTGTGTGTGTGTGTGTGTGTGTGTGTGTGTGTTCACAACAGATTAAAGATTGATACCAGAAAGCTGGGCGTTGGTGGCACACGCCTTTAATCCTAGCACTCTGGAGGCAGAGGCAGGTGGATCTCTGTGAGTTTGAGACCAGCCTGGTCTACAAGAGCTAGTTCCAGGACAGCCTCCAAAGCCATAGAGAAACCCGGTCTCGAAAAAACAAAAAACAAAAAACAAAAACAAAACAAAACAAAGATTGATACCAGAGGGCCCACCCCACTGAGTATCATGTCACTTCTGGGCAGGTGGTCCTGGGTAAATAAACAAGCTGGGCAAGCCATAGGGGAGGAAGCAGAGTTCCTCCATAGCTTCTGCCTCAGTTCCTGCCTTGAGCTCCCACCATGATTTCTCAGTTTGGTGGAGTGTGACTTGAGAGTGGTCAGATGAAGTAATCTGTTCCTTTCCAAGATGCTTTTGCTCGTGGTGTTTATCACAGCAACAGGACAGCAAATAGAACATCTGTTACCAAAAAGACATGTGTTTGGGTAAAAAGAATAACCTCACGCTGTGTGGAGATGTGGGTAGTTTCAGTGTGTCTGGTCAATGGGCAAAAGTTAGCATCAAAGGCTTTCTTCCCTGAGCCTCTCTTCATTTCCTACAGCTGGGTTTACACATTCATTTCTTCTTGGATGACTAAGCCGGATGATGTTAAGCCAGCTTTTGCTCAGCCTTGCCCTGCTCAGCCTCGGGAGGGGGTCAGATTCTCAGCTGGTAGATGAGGAACTTTTGTCTCTGCCTCCAGGGTTCCCTGGGTATCTGTGTGGGCAGTTGAAGTTGCTGATACTGATGTTGAGGTGGCTGCTGATCTTGGGCCCTGACTTTCCTTGCCATCCTCTCTAGGTTCTTTAGCAAGGAAGTCCTTGTGGAATTGGCCTAGAAGCATCTATACACTGTCTCACTGGTCCTGCACCATGGCTGTTAGCAGTCTCCATCACTCTCCCAGCACAAGAAGCTGGAAACTGGTCTGTGCAGAATCTTCGAGAGATTAAGGTGGGAACTTCCACCTGCAGTAGGGTCGGGTTGCTGGGTCTTGTCTTCAGGAGTGCTCTGCCATCCCAACCCCCCCACACTGTTGGGGTAACCCTGCTGCTTATTTTGTGAAGAACCCCTAGGAAACAGTGTCTACAGTGGTTCCTTTGCTGTGTATTTACTCCTGTGCTGTCCCTCCACCAGGGCTTGTAATGGCTGCCTCTGAACCCATTTCTACCTCAGTTTTGAACTCCACAGTGACTCCTAGACTTTGGAGGTACTTCCAGGGGCTGTCTATTGTTTTTGAGATGGGGTTTCATCGTGTCGTCTCAGCTGGCCTGAAACTTGCAGATCCACCTGCCTCTGCCTCCTGAGTGCTAGGATTAAAGGGGAGTGCCATCATGTGTGGCCTTCATACTGACTTACATCAAACCATTCTACTATTGTTCACAAAACCTTGAGATAACCTTTTTGTCCCTGGCATGGGGGCACTGCAGACTTTAGGCCACCTGGGCCAGTGCTGCCTGTGGTGTTAGCTGGTGGTTACTGGGTGTCAGTTTTGCCACTCATGGCAGTGGTGGTAGTGCTGTGGCCGCTGCAGCTCTTCCAGGGTTGCCATGGTAACTGGGTCAGCAGGGCTCCAGCTGACCCAGGCTCCCTGGGATTCTCTCTCCACTCCTGTTACTGATCCAATGCCACCTTTATGTCTTCAGATTTGCTTATCCCTCCCATGTATGAATGTGCACCATGTGCATGCCAAATGTCCCCAGAGTCAGGAGAGGCTTTTGGATCCCTAGAACTGGAGTTACAGATGGTTGTGAGGTGCCATGTTGGTGCTGGGAACTGAAACTGGGTTCTCTGGAAGAGCAGCCATGCACTTAACCACTGAGCCAACTACCCACTCCCCATCTTTGCTTTTTAAATTCATCCCTTCTAACTCTTTTCTCCCTTCCTTTCTTCCATCCCTCCCCTCATTCCTTTGTGCTGTCTCAAATTGGCCTTGAAATCCTGGGCTAACATGAGCCTCTTTCCTCAGCCCTTTGAGTGCTAAAATCTAGACACATGACACACTGCTCATACTCTTGCGCTGTTTTTTGTTTTTTGTTTTTTTTAATAGTGACATTATTGTACACTTGGCCAGCTCAGTAACAGCAAAATGCAAAGCCTCCATCCTTTCCTTCAAGACACTGTGGCACCTATGAATTGCACTTGCGTCAGCATCAAGCATCGTGAGAAGGCAGTGTTGTGTGTAGGTGGACTGGGAAAACAGCCAGATTCAGATTCTGAAGCAGTTTCTCCTGACCACACATTGAATTCCCACTGTGGAAAAGTGGAGCAGTCACAAACTGAGCCTCTCAGATGAGGACTGCTGGAGGTAGTCTTGCCTGCACTCTTATCCACTGACATCTCCCTAGTGCTCCATAGGTCAGGAACTGCTGGCTGCTCCTCCAGCCTAGACACTTAAAAGTTTGCTTTTTGTTTCTGAGACAAGGTTTCACTACATAGCCCAGGATGATCTAGAACTTGAGGTGATTCTTTTGTCTCAGCTTTCCATGGGCTTGCAATAATTGACCACATCTGGCTTCTGGGAGGTCTTGCGCTGCCTCCTGGCTCTATTCCTTCAAGAGCAATCTTCATTGCTATCAGGGCACCTCTTCTGTGTCAGGCTGGCCCTGGGAGGGACACACAGCTTCACAGAGGCCTGGGCTGGCTTCCCATACATGTTTTCTTTCTGGTAAATGGAAATGTGCTCTGAGTCCTCCTGGATGTATCTGGCTGGTGATCCGGGGCCCACCAAGCACAGAGCACACCATCCCAGAATGATTGCACCTGTAGGTGTCTGCTCCCTCTCTTCACCATCTGACGGTTACTTCTGGTTGTGACTTCCCTTAGTGAGGCTGGTAGCATTCTCAAACCTTCCAAGAGCCAAGCAAGCCTGTTGGTACTGCTTGCTGGAGGTTCTGACAAGGTGGCAAGTCCTGTATCACACACAGCAGAGGGCTACTATGCCACTAAGCTCTTCCTGCCCCCAATCTAGCAGTGATGGTCCTTTGGACTGGCTCCTACCGGCAATGTCCCTTCCTGTTTGGCATACACCAGTCCTTAGTTCATTTTCTGTTCCTATAAAAAAAAATACTTGACCAGTCGTTGCTGGCACACACCTTTAATCCCAGCACTCAGGGGGCAGATGCAGAGGCAGGCAGATCTCTGTGAGTTCGAGGCCAGCCTGATCTACAGAGTGACAGGACAGGCTCCAAAGCAATACAAAGAAACCCTGTCTCAACCCCCCCCCCCCCCCCCAAAAAAAAAGAAACAAAACTAAAAACACCACTCCCCCCAAAAAACCTTGTGGCTAAATGTGAGATTTATTTCTGGGCATAATGGTGTGTGTAATTTCAGCACCCAGGAGGCTGAAGTAGGAGGGTCATTCTTATGGGCTATCAAGGTGGCCTTGGGAGACTCATCTCAGTTGGCTCTTTTCCAATGTACCACTGCTAGCCACCGACCCCAGCTCTTCATTCCCATTTCCTTTGACTTCCTGTAAAGCGTTCTCTTCCACATCTGTGCTGGTCTGACCATAGTGGAAGGACTGCTCTTTTGCAGCATGCCAGTGGCTCTACCTATCTTCACCGCCATCAGTGAGGGAGTCCCCATCAGACATGTAGGAAGACAGCAAAGTTAAATCAGGGAAACTGATAGCTGTCAAATGTTCCTGGCTATTGCACTCCACGGAAGTCAAACACACTTGTGGTTTCCATACTAGTAAAATATTTTTATTATTTTTATAACACAAGGAAAGTAGAGACTTCTTTTTGGTGTATACCAGAGCTAAGGGAAGCAGAATAAGGGGATTAATAGGACTTTTATGCATTTTTGATGACCGTAAAAAGTTAACAATACCAACTGCTTGCCATAAAACTTATCATAGCTCCAAACACATATAAAGGATCAGTTTTAAAATCTATAAAAGTAAAAAATATACAGTTGGACGCTCTAACACTTATTTCATCTTCAATATAAAATTGTAAACATTTATTTACACAAAGCACATGTGTATAAGAAAAGTCCGAGCACCCTTTTCTTCTTGAGTCATGGCTCTGAGAAGATGGGATGTGCGAGGAAGTGGGGTCACCTCTTCCCAACTCCCCAAAGCCAGATTCATAAATAAAGCCAAGGGCAGCTCTGGGGGGGGAGAACCCCAAGAATCACATTTTTATTGCTATGACACTGCAGCTAGTGAGCCGCCCACCACCCGCGTGGCCAACCTGGACCTAAGGTAGAGTGCTGGGGCCAGCTGGGCAATGGGGGCAGGAGGTGGGCAGCTGTCGCAGGAGGCTGGAGGAGGAACCACGATCTGGCTCCAGCTCTCGGCCATATTTTTGGTAGCGAACCTGCAGAAGTCACCCTCTCCCCCTACAGTTGGGGAACTATCAGAGGGTGGCGTCTTCACTGGCTTTATGATTCACCTGCTTCTCTGAGAGCTGAACTGAGTTTCTGGGGAGAACAGGTGGCAGGAGAAATGGCTATGAGACAAGGACCCGAGAGCACAGGTGCCCTCAGTGAAAAAGGCACTGCTGGTGCAAACTAGTTTAGCAGTGTGTACACCCTCTGACCCTCCAAGTGCACAGGCTGCTCTGTCATTTCCTTGGCTCAGTTCTTTACACTGGATCAAGTGTTCTGGGACCCAGGACAGTGGGTGGAGCTGTGGTTCCTCTACAGACCTCCTTGCAGGCAAGTCACTCCAGCAAAGCCCTTTCCCTCCACCATCCTCTTCAAGGTCTCGCTCTGTGCACACCATCTTGCTTGTGACAAGGACAAGTGCTGTCAGCAGCCCCCTTGCCATATTCTACTCCATGGTTTCTCTGCTAAGACATGTTCAGCAACAGACCTTCCAAGAGAATCCACTCGAATCTTTAGCAAGGACGGGTTAGTGTTATAAAACCACTTTAAAAGTGCAAATCAGCTGCGGGAGGAGCAGAAGTATGGCAGATAAAGAATAAAGTGACTCCTAGGTGGCGGGCTGCCTGCAGCCTTCTTTCCCCAAACCTGTGCAAGGCTGAGGCTCCCTAAGGAGTTTGACTTTTCCTCTTATAATGTAATAAAATAAATCACCGTTTCCTGTTTTGGCTGGAAGAGGATGAGGAGGCAGAGAAGGGTCATGGGGATGTTGTGGAGGAGGAGAGACATGTGCACAACTGAATGGCACATCTACCATGGTAAATACAGGTTGTCAGAGAGATACAGAAGGTTGGACCCTAAATATCCACCCTCTGCATTTAGCCATGACAGGATATGGAGGGGACTCCTTGGGGGCCCAGTATCTAAAGTGTGAGTGGCAGCCAGGAAGTAGGAGCTTTAAGGAAGGACCCTATCTGGACCACTAGATCTAGCATCTTGTGGCATCCTGATCATTCTGGCATCTGCACTCACAGCCTATACTTGTGGCAATGATTTCCAGTGACCATGAAAGCTGACAGAGCAGGAACAGAAAAGGCTCTGACTCAAAAGGGAAACCCTAGGTCTCCAGTGCCGCTTACGAATACAACCACCACCTAGCCTAATCTGCTTAAAAAAAAATCTTAAATTAAGAAAATTACTTCTATGCTACAAAATGCAAATAATTCTATTTAAAATTTCAACAGAAATTTGTTCCCAGCCTTGAGGCAAGTGGAGAAATCTTGGGTAAAAACACAGCACATTATTTTTGACAAGCCTGATATGGTGGGGCTTAAGTGTTTCCATTGGCTTTTTGGTCATCTGGGTAGGAAGCCACCTTTCAAACTCCTATCCTGCTATCCCAACCCCAGGTAGTGATGCCAATGGGCTGGGCCAGCCCAACGGACCAGCAGATACTGACCGCTGCTGGCCTTAGCTGTTGCTTAAGTTCTACTGGCCCAGTTCTCTGGGCCATGGGCTTTTGGTCCAAAGTAGTTGCTCTTTCTTGAATCTGAGAACAAAAATATAAGATGTCTAAACATCGAAGACACCACATATCTCTCCATTACTGTGACCCTAAAAGATCATCCAATTCATTTATCCACTCCTCAGAAGTCCTGTTCTTCAGCAAGCAGGAGATCAGATCAGTGTGTCCAGCCACACTGGACAGCCCACTGCTGCCTGGCTGCCCACTGAAGGCAAAGGGCAGCTCTTGGCCCATGGTCCTCACGGGGTAGGCCTGAGTACAGTGCAGCCCCGCCCGGCTGTTCATCTGTGAAGTGGAGCTCTGGCTAAAGGCCCCCAGCTCAGGCCCTGCAGGGCTTAAGCCAGGCAAGCCCTGCTGAGGGGCTGCTTGGGGAGGTGCGGGTGCAGGGGCACTGTTCCTCTGCTGTGTGCTCACTGGGGGCAGCATGGACCCTGCTGCACCTGCTGAACTCATGGGGGCCATGGGCCTGCTGGGCATGGCTTGGGAGAACTGCTGGCCAGGTATTTTCAGGTGGGCCTGCTGCATGTGGAAACTGGAAGGTGCAGCGAAGGGGCTCACACTGCTGTTCCCTGGCGTCTGGCTGCTCAGGTTTGGCATTCCCTGATGTTGCCATGAGGCATTCTGGCCTCCCATGGCTGCTGACACCCTTGGGACTTGTGACTTTGTTAAACCAGGAGGCAGGGTTCCCTTATTGTGCTGCTGGGAGAGGCCAGCACTCCCCAGAGAGTTCTGTCCATAAGCGGCTGGAGCAGAAGCATTTTGGCCCACACTGGTCTGCCGTGGAATGTGGGCATGTGCGCTGGCAGCTTGTGGTGGGGGCTGGGCAACTATCTGGGGTAGGCCAGAGGTTATGCCATAAAGGCTGCTCTGAGGCAAGCTCTGGGACCCAGTAAACTGGGCCACTCCTCGGTCCTGCGGGCCTGAGCTGGAGGGGAGAGAAGAAACAGGAGCATG